GTTTCGACAGTACATATTTGAGCGTGTCTCAGTCAGGCACAACTGTCTGTTGGCATTAAGATTTTGTGGTCAGAAGACACTCGCAATTTATAATTCAGTCTGCTTTTGACCATCGAAGGAAGTGCACTTGCCCATTCACCAACACGCAGGCAAAAAGCTAACTTGGCGCCCAACCGACGGATAGCTGGCGTTACAGTTTCATCCAGGAGCTGATGACATTTTCTGCCGATCGTCAAGCCCTTATCTTCTGAAGACCGCAGATGTGTACATTGCTCACAGAATGGGGTGATTAGAATATCGCGGAAGCTGTGACACGAAAATTCCCGTTGCCAAGTGCGGGTTTTTAGAAAAATCACAGTCTAGCTTGGTCGAATTGGCATGTCATGAACATAGAGACGCCGTGGCTCACGGCATAGCCTTTTATCCAAGTCTGGCCGGTCAAGTGTGTATTGGTACCGAATTCCAGTCGTTTCTCAAACGGGCATTTCCAACTGGCTCTCGAGCTGTGCACAATTTGCCGTAATCACACCCATCGTCTGAGCATCCAGCAGAACTCTTGCCTAAGATATGAATACCAAAATGGTGTGACCTTCTGTTTTGTCGCATTCTCCTTTAGCCTTATAGTTTGTGTTCGACCTCGTTTTCGCAACTTGGTCCTACGTCATGTGCCATAGTATTCGTGACTTCCAGCCTCGGATCATTTACTTGATACATTCCCGTAATTTTCGCCGGCATCGTCAGTGAGAGGTGCCATTGTCCGCAAAGAATTACAACTTGTCGAAGTGACAGGTTTGCTGTACCTCTGTGTTGTGCCGCTGTGCAGACGGTGAAACCTCGCAACGACGATGCCGGTGAAACGTTTGGGAATGTACTAAATCAATGGTCCAATGCTGGAAATCACGAATATTATGGCAGATGATGCAGGATTACGTATGTTCCATATAACTCTTGTGTGTCGGGTAGTGCTTGTGTGTTTTACACTCGGTCCTCCGTCTGGATATACGCGATACAGTATCACTGCCAATCCTTGCGAAAATGACTGGTTAATGGAAATGTAGAGAAAGTAGTTTCAATCCTAAATCCGAAACTGTACACCTCTCCAACTTACCTCCGCATCACGTCACCGCACTACCATCGCCGCCGCTGTCACATAAGTCGGCACCACACCTTTGCACACACATGCACGTCCAACATCCACGTAGCAAATTTGTAGGGAACCAGCTCGCCACTCAATGTCGCACAAGTTTATGCTTCAACTCCGCAACACACTTCCACGAAACCCCCTTGACGCACATCTCCTCGGCACACTTCTTCTACACACGTCCTCCCCACTCCTCCACACACCTCCGCACAACTCTGCAGTAAACAACAGCGGCACACCTCCTCGAACAACATCGCAACACATCCCCGTGGCGAAACGTCTCTTCACACCTCTTCGGCACACATTTCCACGACACACTTCCGTACCACACCTCTTCGACAGACCTCTGCATAGTTTCGCGATGCACACCATTTCCCCACACCTCCGCACACCTCCGCAAACTTACGCACACCTCCGCAGTAAACAACAGCGGCACACCTCGTCGAACACCTTGGCAACACATCGCCGTGGCGAAAAGTCTCTTCACACCTCTTCGGAACAGATTTCCACGACACACTTCCGTACCACACCTCTTCGACAGACCTCTGCATACTTTCGCGGTGCACACCATTTCCGCACACCTCTGCGCACCTTTACGGCGCATCTCCGCTGCTCATCTTCTCTGATCACCCCACTGGCATTTTTACCAAATTATCTCTTAATGTAATCTATGCGACATTAGGCTACTTTAGAGTTAGATTCAGTACCGAAATGCGATTTAGAGAATGACAGTTCAATCGCCTACGATTTAATGAGTAAAGGACTTTTAGAATGCTGTCGAGTTCCGCTCGGTTATGTCACTCCAAAGGGGTGAATCTCATGAACTCGGTCCTGAGTCCTCTTGAGTCTGCTGATTGGACACGAGGTCAACATTGCAGTCCAGAATGGAGGAGAAAGCTTTTGGGGAGCTTGAGTCTTTCAAATCATTTTGATGTGGATAACCCAATTAATCTCCACTTCCATCAA